ATGGAATACTACAAAAAAGCAAAAAACTTTTTAGGGGTAGCAATAAGATTTTTAAAAATTTTTTCGCAAACTTCAAGCGCAAAAATTTTTTGAACAAAACTCATCATTTAGGCTCAATATCACCCTCCATAAATTTCATCTGGGTCCCATGCTCTGAAACTGAGATTCAGCGTATCCAAAATCTCTGCGCCGCCTATGGATGCAGAATTAAACGGGCTACATTTTAGTATAAATATTTTCTTTAAAAAGTATTGGCTGTGATAAGTAAATATTGAAATAAGTATTAATGATCATCAATGAACATTAATTATTAAATATAGAATATATTTTTTCATTATTTTATGTTTTCAAGTAGACCATTAGGAAGCTCATTGAAAAAAAGAACGAATTCCTTTAAATTTTTTAATGTGTCAAATCGAATGTAACAAATTTTTACCTATTTCTTGAGCAAAAGATCACAGATTATGGACTTCATCGACATGATTTATCTTTGGAAATCTTGTTCAATGATAGTACATTTAATAGATCTAATGAAGATGCATTAATTAATACTAAAAAAGAGAGATCTTCAATACTGATATCTGTTGTTATAAGGTGTTAAATAGAATTCTCTGCAATTCATCAAAATTTTCAACAATTTTTGAAGATGCATATAAATAGTACCTGGAGGTTGGTTTAAAGATCTTTTCGTATTTCTTGATAGGTTTTCAGAAAAAGCTAAAAATTTGGTTTTGAGCCTAACTTTTCTCACTCTTTCGTTGTGCGTATGTTTGACACTATCTAACATTTTGCATCTCTAGCTTTGACCAGATTTAAAAAGTGTTGACAAGAGTCGTTTCTTAATCTCGTATAGGATTTCTTTTGAAACAGCACCTCTAGTTTGATGCTAATGAGTTGCATAAGTCGCGTTGTTTACTGTGAAAACACGAGAGACACTTCGAAGAGAGCATATGTCACTGTGTAACTCGTAGTTTGTTTAATCGTGTATTCATCCATTGTTTTTTTTTGTTTCTTTTCTGCCACTCTATACAACATTTACACACACTATCATTTTCAGTTCTTTTTTTCTGTTCTGTTCTGTGTTTGTTCTCTTTTCTTCCTTATCAATGTATATCATAAACATAGAAGTTTTATATATTAAGTACGATGTGTGCGCCTAGGAAAAAAATACCAAGAGAAACAGAAATAAAAATGTCATTGTTGATCTTGTAAATAAAGGAAAAAGACAGAATGTCTGTTGTTGATATTTCTTCACTTTTTCGTCGTTTGCATAACTTTCAATGGTACTGGAATTCAAAAGCCAATCCGTCTTCATATAATGACAAATGGATGAAATATACCGATATTGAAAATGAAATTATCGAAGATGCCTTTGATGCGCATAGAAAAGAGGTTGAAATCGATGGAGATTACATTATTGATTTAGAACAACTAGTTCAATACAGCAACATGAATAATAATACACGACAACAAATAAAACGTATTGCGTCAGACTCAAAGACTACTGCTAATATTCACTTACGCGAGGAACGGTTTTCATCACCAATCTCGCTTGTCTCTACATTACCAGATAAAACAATTGAAAATAAAGAGAAGAACAAAATTCGTCTTCAGCTGGTAAGAGGCACAGTTCATTTTCCAAGCACATATCTATGGTTTATAACCAGTCGAAATGCAACTTTTGCCGATATTGTTGAAGAAGCTGCACAATGAATTATGAAAGAAGGAACAGATATTGGAAAGAAACGGGAAGTTGAATGGTTAGCTAGTAAATTACTTTCAGTAAAACATTACAATGAGGGTATAGATCGACTGGATGATGACGGAGTACCTGGTGAGATCGGTTGAATGTGCGTACTTCTTTATACAACAGATTCATTTTTATTTAAATCAATTAACTGTGTACTTCGTGATATTGAAAACATTACACGTGAGAGATTGAACATATTAGGTCCATTTTCTGCACTACTCTCTTTTTACTTGGAACAAATACAAACAATTGGTGTTGATACGGTTTATCGTGGAATTAATTTAACAGATGAGGAAAGATATAATTATATGAACCAACATGCGATACATTTCTCAGCTTTTACATCTACGAGCACGAATCGAGAATCAGCAAACATGTTTGGTAATACACTTCTTATTATCAAACCAAACTTTTATCTCGTTTCTATCGTACGACTCGCTCGTACGGTGTTGACATATCAAGCCTATCATATTTTCCTCAAGAAGAATTTTTGATCTTTAAATTTCAAGTTTCAACTTTCAAGCTTCAAGTGAGTTTTCAATTTTCAAGTTTCAAGTTTCAAGTTTCAAGTTTCAACTTTCAAGTTTCAAGTGAGTTTTCAATTTTCAATTTTCAAGTTTCAAGTTTCAAGTGAGTTTTCAAGTTTCAAGTTTCAA